GCTCGCCCCGAGCGCGCGGTCTGCGGGCGCACCCGACTGCTGAGCCGAGCCGAGCCGACCGGAGACCCAGCCGAAGGGTGGCTGCTCCCGCGGAGCGCAACGGAGTGGCGGAGGAGCAGGAAGCGCGGCGGCGGACCCGCAGCGGCACCGGGAAACGAGCGAGCGGTTAGCGAGCGCAGCCGCCGCCTCCCCGCCTCCTTCTCTGGCTCGCTTTCCTGCAGCCGCGAGCGCCCTCTCACAGCAGCCTCTGCCGCCCGCCGGCGTCCGGGCCGCCCGAACCTGCTAGCGATGACCTAATCCCGCCGAGCCAATCAGCGCGCTGCCCTCAGCCCGACCCCCGGGGCCTCCAGGGGCCGCCCGGCCCTTCCGCGGGTTCGATCCAATCAGCGGGGCAGGAGGCGGGGCCTGGGGTCGGGGGCGGAGCCCACGCCACCGCCTGGGTCTGCAGAGCAAGCACCGCCCTCTCCTGCCCGCCGGGTGTTGCAGACCCAGAGCCTAGGGCGTCAGTGCTGCTGTGCTTGATCCCTCGCCACCCGGACCTTGCCCTCTGCTGTGGCCCTAATCCGAGCCGGAGATAATGCGTCTGATGGTCTTGGAAAGGAGGGCATCTAGATGTGCCCGGCATGAAAAATCTAGGCATTAGGGCTACTATTTACGGTACCCCGCCCGCATTGCTGGGCAACTGAGCTTACCTTCAAAACACAGCCCTCGCTCCCGAGAAAACCCCGGAGCGCCCTGAGCGTGTAACACTCCTTTTCCAGTCGGGGAGAAAATGTTTGCATTTCTAAATGACCAACTCTTTTCGCCTGCAGCCTTCCCGCCCCTGCAGTCCGTCCCCCTCTCGGCCATTCCTGCTCAGAATCAACCCACGGCCGCCCCTTGCCGAGGGATCTCACATTCTTAGAAGAATCCCAGCCGCCTGTTATTTTCCTGCTGGGCACCTAGCACCATTTACACAATTAACTTCCAATGCCTGTTTGTGCTTCGCTGCTACACTATGAGCTTCACAGGGCACGTGCCATCGCAGTTTTTCCAGACTGCTGTTGCATCCCAACGCCTGGAACTCGGCCTGCATTTGATAGTAGTTATTGCATGCTCACCATGTGCTAACGATCCTACTGTGCTTGATAAATATTTGTGACATAGATGAATGAACCTTTCCTTTTGTTCCTCTCCACCCCCAGTTCGTTGACCCATAATTCCTCTATAAGACCACGGGATTTGATTCTGACAGCTTACTCCTCATGCATATGTCAGGGTTAGTACCTCAAGATCTCCAGTGCTGAACTATGAACTCCTGGAGAACAGAGACTGTCCTTGAATAATTATTTCTAAATCCAAGTATTAGCAGCCCTCCAGTTGATTGTATGCTTGAGTGTGTCTGAGTTTGCTTTTTAAATAGATCTGCTATGTGCAGGCACTAGCTAGCCTACATGCAAGGGATACAAAGATGAACACAATGAATTTCACTGCCTCTGCTCTGGTTAAGACAGAAACAAACAAGCAGCACAACGCTGCGCAATAGGGTGTGAGGCCTGGATGCCTAGAAGCTCCATCTATGTTGAAAATTTAATAGATCTATTTGATTACTGCATGGATGAATGAATGTGATCTATTTGCCAACTGTATCACAAATTTAGGTTTGATAGCAGAACTAAACTGTTGATAATTACAACCCTACAGATGGTCATCCCTCACTTGGGATGGATGAGAAAGATCGGGAATGGAAACTCCATGAAGGTAAATCTGTTTGATGCTTATCTTGAGCAACTCTGGGTAGGTGTTCCAGTTATCTATTGATACATAACAAATCAGATGAAAACTTAAAATGTTTAAAGCAGTACAATCATTTTCTTTTCTCTTATGATTAGGAATTTTGAGAGGGCTTGACTGGGTGGATCTGACTTGGAGTGTCTCCTGTGATTGCAGTCAAATAGTCGGATGGTGACAAGAGCTGGGAGAAGGGGTGGTTTTCTAGGCCCCTGCCTCTTTTCAGGAAGACGCAAGGTTTCTCCATGTCGTTTCTCCATGAGGACTAGTTTAAGCTTCCTGAGAGCACAGTGGCCTCAGGGCTTGAGTGTGATCACCCCAGCATTACCTTTTATTACCTAGGCTTGGAAGTCACACCTCCTTCGCTGCCTCTGAGCAAGTCACAAGGTCACCCGGATTGAAGTGAGGGAGGGATGTTAGACTGTACCTCTAGAGAAGAGTTGCAGCATTTTTTAAAAATAGTCTGCCAGGAGTCAATAAATGTTAAACGAGTAAAACAAAGTGAAATCCACAATTATTTGTTTCATCTCATTGAGGGCTATTGGACAAATGTGCATATAATGCACATGTCATTCATATTTGTATTAATACTATATTAGCTATCATTTGTTAAACTTAGTTTGTGCCAGGAACTATGTTAAATTTTTAAAATGCATTTAATCCCATAGCCTGGTGCCATGATAATCCTCATCTTTCAAATGATAAATTAGGGCCCATAGTTGTAACTTTAACCAGGTTACATACTTAATAAGTCTGTGCGGCACAAACATATAACTTAATATGCCCATTCAGTGAAAATAATGTAAGTATGTAGATAATGTGTACATCTCTTATACATTTAATTCATAATTTCCATGAAGATCTCCCTTGCTTCCAGCAGTACTATCAGAAAAACAGAATCAGAATGCAGCAGCGTTGAGTACAGACTCTGCCACATAGGCAACATAGTTGTCTCCAGCCTAGAAAAGAAGCTCCATGAGGACAGAGGTCTTCTGGTTTTCAATGCTGCAGCCCCAGCTTAGAACAGCAACTGGTATCTTTCAAAGTTGCTCAACATCAATAGGAGGGGCACATGCTTAAGAAGGAAGAAACAGTGACTCATGTGACAACATAGGTTATGCTCATGCTACACAAATAGAACAGTTAAAGCCAGAAATCACATGAAATAAAGAAATTAGGCAACATTGCTTGGCTTAAATACTTTGGCTGAAATTCCTGAATTCCTTCAAATTACTAACAAAATTAGTCTAAATAGTTCTGCTTTCAGTATCAATGTACTTTAAATTCGTATTATTTCTGACTTCAATTGTCCAATCAACTTTACTTCTGCTATATAATTATGTCTTATCCAGAGAAACATCACCACTGGCAAACACTTCCATAGGTCTTGTCTCTGAGCACACATAATCAAAAGTATGTACCAGCCGCTCACTCCTTGCTTCCTGCATACAAGCTTGACAACAGCACTGGCCCATGACGAAGTGGTCCAGGCTCTTCATGACACTGAGAAGATCAGGAATAGCTCCAGCTTCAGGACAGCCTTCAGGTGATGATATTAGTGCAAGGTGTCTTTATCTCTTGAGCTGACTTTCCTATATTTTTGTGGAGTTTTTATTTGTTTTATTTTGTTGAAACATATCCACACCATGCTAGGAATCAAACCCTATCCTCTGTAGTGGATTCTTTCTCAAAGGCTGTCTTGGCTTCCCCAAGTTTACATTCAGCAATAGTAGCAGTGGCAGAGTTTTCTTTCAAAGAATTCCAGCAGAAATGACAAGATAGAAGCCAATGATAAAACAGCCCCATCCAAACACATTAACAGCTTTTGTTCCCCCAAAGGACAAGCAAAGTGCTGGTAACAGGGTAAGAAAGGATTGTTGCTGAATAGGCAGAAGCAATAATACACAGTGCACATGACCTGTCCACCAGCCTCCTCAAAGACAATATGCCTTTTGCGGCATTCCCATGTTTTTAAAATTCTAGTTAGTTTAGTACTTACTCATTCTTTTTATGGTTGGTACCATATGTTACTTTACACAGTGACTTTTCCTTTGTGTTATTACTGGACAAAATATCAGGTGTCCTATTATAAAATAGTGCTCTTACATTGATGTAAATGTTCTCTATCTTGATTATAGTGATGGTTACAGAAGCATCATGTTTGCCAAAACTTATGGGAGGATCTTATTATATGTAAATTATACCTTAATGAAGATTACTTTAAAAAATGATGATGGTGGTGATGGTGAGATTAAGTAGATATTTGTTGTGTAGTAGGCACTGTGCTAAATATCTTATTACATTTCCTTGTTTAACATTAACTACAGCCTGGCCCCCTTCCTCAGTTGTGAGTGGAGCTGCAGGACCGCAAGCTGAGATGCTGCAGACCAGCGACCTAAGCACACAAGCGGTGAACAATAGCTGTCCAAGTTTGCAATCAAAAATGGCCTCAAGTCAAACACCCTTGCAAAAAATGGGAAAGAAACAAAATGGAAAAAGTAAAAAAGTTGAGGCTGCAGAGCCTGAAGAATTTGTGGTTGAAAGTACCGACGTGTAGTGAATAGGAAGTTGGAGTATTTCCTCAGCACATGCTGACAACACAGGGGAACCTGAAGAAAATTCAGGTTGTCTAGAGTTAATTGAAGCATTTCTTAGTTCTCAAAGAGCTGGCAAAGAAAAAGATGGTATGAAAAGAAAGTCTTTATCTGATCATGAGTCTGATGATAGCAAATCCAAAAAGGAAAGGGAGGCTGCTGACAAACCAAGAGGCTTTGCCAGAGGTCTCGATCCTGAACAAAAAATTAGTGCCACAGCAGTTGTGGAGAGTGAATGTTTCTCTTGAAATGGAAAGATTTGGATGAGGCTGACTTGGGGCTGGCAGAAGAGGCAAATATGAAATGTCCTCAAATTGCAATTGCTTTTTCTGAAGAGAGACTAACTTGCTTTCTTGTCCAGAAAACAAAAACCAGTAAGAATTTGCATCATATATATGCATTCTAATGAAAATCAAGTTTAATATGTTAGTTTCGGAAGTTGTTGGGGAAGTACTGGGAAAGTTGTTGAGATTTTTGTTTTTGTTTTACACTAATAGCTCTTTGCTGCTTTGAACAAATAAAAGCTTTCTGTAGTTGCATCCTTTATCAGAAAAGAGCACTTGATCACCTAATGTATTTCTTCTGCTTTTCTAAATGTTGGGGAAATTTTCCATATTCAAACTCAATCAGAGATAATTTTTAGCTCACATTCATAAGGGCCATTCTGAGCTTTTTGTGTGTATAAGTAAATACTATGTAAATGGATTTTGTTTTGTTTTTAAGCATTTACCAGAACAAATACC